GACCCTGATCCATGATGACGCTATTACTGACAGACGCTGATCCATGATGACGCTATTACTGACGGACCCTGATCCATGATGACGCTATTACTGACGGACCCTGATCCATGGTGACGCTATTACTGACGGACCCTGATCCATGATGACACTATTACTGATGGACCCCATCTATCCATGGTGATGCTTACGACAGTGAGGAGGACATAGCTCTGGAACCCAAGCCATACTCATTCCCTCTCCACCTTCAAGATAGTCACCGTGTCCAGCTATCACTTGAATTGTCTTTTCCTTAAAATGTCTCTCTGAATGACACATTTTTTTCTTTTCATTATCTAGTTTTTTTAATTTATTTTTATTGGTAAAATTCACATAAGATTATAGTCAGCATTTTAACCCTCTTAGCTTATATAGTGGGTTTTTTATGTTTACAATGCTATTCATCCATCACCACTATACCTAACACCAGAAAACTTCCACCACCCCTTTTGAGAAACCGCACACTTGATCACAGTCACCTCCATGACTCCATGCCCCACCACCGGCAGCCACCGATCCCTCTCTGTGGCCCTGTCCATCCTGGACACTGCAGGGAACAGAAGCATCAGAGTGTGTTCTTTAGAAGTTGTCTTCTTTCACTTAGCACAATGCAAAGGATTCATGTTTTAAAGAAATGAATTTGTTCCCAGAGGAGACTTCACACTAGACCAGGCTTGGGAAGCTGGTGGTGTTTGTTACGTATAAATTGACTGCAAAAACAAGCTGAAGGCCAAGAAAATGGTGCTGTCAGATGCCAGCCAGAGAGTTTTATCTCTCTGTGCTCAGAGCCTGGATGCAGCCCTCAATCTGTGCAAATACCAGTGTTTTGAAGCCATACGAGAGCTAGAGAGCTCTCTCGTTCACAGTCATCAGGGTGGAAGCAAACTGGAGAGGGAGGCAGGTTTTCATTGTGTCATTCTGTTTTATCCAACACTTTATGTTTGTACCCAAAACTCGTCTCTTGCAGAGGATCGTTGATCTAACTTGCTGTTCTTGTGTGCCAGTGAGTCAGTTCCAACTCATCGTGACACTATATGACAAAGTAGAAGAGCCCTATAGGGTTTTCTAAGCTGTGATCTTTATGGAAGGAAATTGATAGGGCTTTCTGCCATGGAGCTGCTCAGTGGTTTGAACTGCCAATATTTCAGTCAGCAGTCATGCACTTAACTATTGTACCACCAGGGTGCCTTGATCTAACTTCCAAAATCTGTTTCCATCAAGTTTCTAACTCATAGTGACCCCATAGGACAGAGCAGAAATTCCCCAGAGGGTTTCCAAGGCTGTCATCTCTATGGAAACAGATTGCCACATCTTTCTCCAATGGAGCAGCTGGTTGGTTGGAACCACCAACCTTTTGGTTAGCAGCCAAGCACTTGACCACTGTGCCACCAGGACTCCTCTGATCTAACTTAAAGAGTGGCGAGCTTTCTTCTATATGGAGCCAGATAGTAAATATTTTAGGCTTTGCAGGCCAGGCAGTCTCTGTAGCAACCTGTCCACCCTGCTACTGTAGCATGAAGGCAGCCATAGAAAATAAGTGAACTGTGTGTTGATAAAACTTTATTTATAAAATCAGGTGGTGGGCCGGATTTGATCTCCTGACTCAACTCATTCCCCAAACTCCAGGTCTTTCCCAGTTCAGCCTCAGCAGCACATTTGTTGTTAGATGCCACTGCGTCCGTTCCTACTCACGTTGACCCTGTGGCCTTCCCGAAGCGGGTCAGCAGCCCTTGTCCCAGGCACCTGCCCCGTGGGCTTGGAGCCCTGGTGGCACTGGTTCTGCCCCATCTTCACAGTCCTGGAGCCCCCAGTCGCGGCCACTGTGTCAACGCATCTTGTCAAGGGTCTTCCCCTTGTTCACTGACCCTCTGCTTTACCAAGCATGACACCCTTCTCCAGGGAACGGTCCCTTCTGACACAACCAAAGTAGATGAGATGGAGTCTGGCCAATCTTGCTTCTAAGGAGCATTCCAGCTGCACTTCCTCCGGGACAGGTGTGTTAGTTCTTCTGGCAGTCTGTGTCTTTCAGTATTCTGCACCAACACCACAATTCAAGGCATCAACTCTTCTTCTGTCTTCCTTATTCATTGTCCAGCTTTCACATGCACAGGAGGCAATTGCAAATACTATAGCTTGAGTTAAACAAAAAGCAAACTCACTGCCATCGAGTCGGACCCCTCCTTGGGTTTCTGAGGTGGTATCACTATGGAAGTAGATTGCCCAACCTTCCTTCTGAGCAGTGGCTGGTGGGTTTGAGCCTCCAGCCTTCTGGTTAGCAGTCAAATGCCCTAGGCACTACGCCACCAGAGCTCCTATAGTTAGGCACATTTAAGTCTTCAAAGTGATATCTTTCCTTCTGTGCACTTTAAAGAGGTCTTTTACAACAGATTCGCCCAGTCCAATGTGACATCTGATCATTTGACTGCTCCTGCAGTGGGTGTTGATTGTGCATGGATCAGGTGAAATGAAATCCCTGACAACTACAGTCTTTTCTCCATTGATCATGATGTTGCTTATTGGTCTAGTTGTGAGGATTTTTGTTTTCTTTACGTTGAAGTATAATCTGTACTGCAGGCTGTATGTAGTCTTTGATCTTCATCAGTAAGTGCTTGAGGTCATCTTCATTGGCAGTAAGCAAGGTTGTGTCGTCTGTATATCACAGGTTGTTAATGGGGTTCCTCCAATCCTGATGCCGCACTCTTTTCCATATAGCCCAGCTTCCCTGAGTACTTGCTTAGCACACAGATTTGAACAGTATGGTGAAAGGATACAACCTGATGCACCCCCTTCCTGATTTTAAACCATACAGTATCCCCTTGGTCTATGTACCGGTTCCTCATGAGCACAATTAAATGTTCTGCAATTCCATCTTCTCAGTGTTATCCATAATTTGTTATGATCCTTGGACACCCTGTGGGGCAGTTCCACTGTGTCCTCTAGGGGCACTGTGGGTCAGAATGGACTCACCAGCCGCAGAAATGGTTTCTGACATGATTACTAGTCTGTCCCCCCACAAGCCTAAAGCCCCCTGAGGAGTAAGGCGTCTGTCAAGCAGAACACCAGGGACAGGCAGATACCAATCAGTGTCTGTGAACAGATGAATGAACAAATGAGTGGTGTGGCCCTCACCGCCTCTGGCAGTCAGTCCTCCCTGACCATCGTGACGACTGCTGGCCTGAGTGTGCGGCATCCGAAAGCAATGAGATGAGGCGTGCTCACATCCGACTCCCCATCCATAAACAGTAACTGTGAACTCTGCTGAAACAGAAAGACAGCTGTCGGTAGGTACCTGAGAGTGATCGGCAGCAGCAGAACTGTTGTGGAGTCGACCTCGGAAGAAGGAAAGAAACAGCAGCGACAGGCACATTTACACACAGGCAGGTACCCACACCTGTGCACAGACAGGTATGTGTACTCACAAAGAAGTACACCTGCTCAGAGGCAGGTCCATCCTCACACAGACAGGTATACATACACACACTGACAAGTACACACAGGTGCAGACACATACATACCCACTCACAGGCAGGTACACACCTGTGCAGGCATGTAGCTGCACCCACACACAGACAGGAGCATCCACTC